ACACACTTGCCGTCACGCCAGCGCCCATGACCCAGCCCCCACAGTCCTTTCTCAGTACCTTGCCCAGTCTTCCCCTGCCCTGTCTTGCCCTGTCCTGCCTTGTCTTGCGCCAATGGTCTTTACCCCGCACCCTCTCCCGCCCCTTTCCCAAGTTCTCCCTTCCGTCCCCTTTCGGCCATATCACACACAGGGGAGGGCTCGTTCGTTGCTCATCTGGTGCACCCGTATGTACGTATGTACACAGCTCCGTCCGTCCCCTCCCCAACTCCCCCGCCCAACTCCTCCCTCCCCCCCTCCGGCCCCCCTCGGGCCCCCCCCCCGCCTGCCCGCCCTCCCGACCCCAGCAGTCTAACCAGCGATCCCGAGGCGCTTGGTGTCGCTGAGACGGTGGAGCACTTCATCACCGCCATGGACTCCTTGAAACTTAACTTGGCAGCCGTGGACCAGGTGGAGCAGGGAGGGGGGGGGGGGCCCGCCGGGTAGAGAGCACGAGTGTGGGAAATTTGCGGACCCGGCTAGTACCCGGGTACCTACCCCTACGTCGTCGACTGACTGCGCTGTATCCCCTTCTGGTCCCCTTCTGCAGTTCCTGAGTTTTTGTATTTCTGAACGTTTGTTTGTCAGTCGCGTCTTTTTACCCCCCGTCTACACCTCTCCCGTCCCTCCCCTCCCGCTTAGTTACCCCCCCTTGCCCCCCTGTCCCGCTAGTGGTTCGTCTTACCCCCCCTCCCTGCTTTCCTGTCTCACCCGTTATTGTTGTTGTTGTTGTTGTGCAGATCTGCCCCATCCTGCTGAACTTGATCAACAGCATGGACAAAATCAAGTCGCTGCCAGCTGACTTCGGGCCCCGCGCCAAGGTGATGTCCTGGTACAAGAAGCTGTACCAGAAGCCCGCCAACTACGAACTGCCAGAGGACGATGTACGGCAGCTCATGTACGAACTAGAGGCGTCGTACAATACCTTTCTTGCGACGTTGCGGAAGAAATGAAGTGGAGGAGGGGATAGATCGGTGTCTCGAGGGCGCATTTGTGTATTGTGGATTTCGGTGCTCTGCTCTCTCGTGGTGGGGCGCTATTAAGCGGCGATCTGACCTGAGGTTGGGTTGCGACGTGACGCTGTCGGCTCATTTGTCGCGCGGGGGGAGGAGGAGGGCTGCAGTAGCAGCTGCAGCAGCAGCAGCAGCACGCTGCCTTCTTTAGGCAGGACGCTCAGAAGGTACAGAGGGAAAAGAAAAGTGCAATGCAAATTGCAAGGGTCCTAGCCGCTAGTGCTAAATTTCCTGCGATGCGGGAGGGGTTATGGTGGGGGGTGTCGCGGCACGTGACCCTGCATGCGGTACACACGTGCGTGTGTGTGTGTTGTTGCTCTGGCCGACCTGCAGGTGGGCCTGCTCCCAGCCGTACGGGGGTCAGCCAGGTGGTGGGGAAAAGGAGCGCTATGCCCGGTGTCGCCCGGTGGGGTTTCGTTCCATGAACCGCTTCCCAACAGCCCTATTTGGGTTCTCGCACACTTACGGACCATTAACGTTTTCCTCATGAGCTGTATTGGCCGCGAAGTACATGACGGCATCAGGAAATGTTCTCTTTGCTGCCTTGTGCCGTGTTGTTTTTCTACGGGTGAAGGCGCTGAAGTTGAATTAGATCCTCGGAATGGGATGAGGATTGTGGACAGGATTGAATTTAGATTCTTCTTGGGTGCTGATGCGCGCGGAGAGAGGACATACAGCAGCAGGTTGGAAGGCGGGTGAACGACAAAACGCTCCTTCAAAAATGGGCGGGAGCGGGCTACCGGGATGAATTTTCGCGAGGGAGAGGCTACGGAAAGTCGATGCAATATGTTTGGAAAGCGATGTTCCGAAGTCTGCGCAGGGGCGATGCGATGCTCTCGTTCCAGAAGGATTGGGAAATTAAGGACGGTTACTGCACTTATGCTACACAACTGAAGTGTGACACTGCCTGACATTACGATTCCTGTTTGGAGAGATATGGGAGGTTTACTAATACTAAAGACGGAGGAACCAGAGGCGCTGCAAAGTGCGACGTTGCACGCTGTGGATTTGATGTTCTCCTGAGGCCAAGGTGCAACGCAGCAGATGAAAGTCAGGCGTACAAAACCTGTTTCTTGCCTATAGCAAGCTACGTTTATCTTAGAATATTTTTAGCTATAAATAGTAGTAAACATCAAGGCTCCAGGAATGGGGATTGCGGTAGGTGCGCCGCATTTAAGCCGCCCTGGTCGGCCAGACATCTTCATGTCAGTACACAAATGTGCAGGGTTCAAGACTCCGCTGTCACCGTTCTCATCACATGTCTTCGAACTCTGACTTTTCGAACCGCTTCTCGCTTCTATCGTTAAGCCGCCCCTCGTGGTCGAGACCCTCCCCTTCCCCGGCGTCACGACCAAACGTTTCCGCCATAACACCTAAGGACGAGATGCTGTCCAGCGATAACGTTGCGGCTTCCTCAGTCGCATTGTCTGCGGCGGTTACTCCAACCGTACCAAGCCCTGTAGCGTCTGGGGAAGCCGCAACATTACCGCTGGACAGCATCTCGTCCTTTTGGTCGTGACGCCGGGGAAGGGGAGGGTCTCGACCACTCGGCTTAAGCTTAGTGAGAGAAGCGATAAGCGATACGAAAAGTCTGAAGACATACGGCGAGATCGGTGACGGCAAGGTCTGGAACCCTGAACACTAGTGTACTGATATGAAAGTGCCAGGCCAAAGATCCACAAAAGGCAGGGTGGCTTATATGCGGGGCACCTGCCGCCATCTCCCTTCCTGGAGCCTTGCTGTAGTGCAAAGATCGTACGCTACGTTGTGATAGCGTAACAGAAACGAGTTCTCTCGTCGTTAAGGACGCATTGACTGGCAATTTAGCAAATTACATTCACCTTCGAACAGGTGGTAACAGCCAGTGAGTTCCTACAGCTGACGAGTACGGTTTGTAATACTGAATTGATTAAGTGCTCGTCCTGTAGTGCAGTACGGCAAGTGCGGCGCGGGAAGGCGCAGACCAGAATGGGCCAGAGGACAGGGACTGATACGGTAGTTCGTTACAAAGTTTAGCTGGGAACAAAGCGCTGAATCCAGGCAACGCAAGTTCGCCAGTCAACCATGCAAGCAAGCGCAAGTCAGAACGTCGTCTGTTGGGGAGTTTGAATTGTTTAAATAGGGATTTACTTTGTATTCGTGACCCAGCTCAATAGGAAAGTAGATAAGGCGATCCGACGTTGCTGGCATATCGGTCGCCAGTAACAGCGAAGTGATGGCAGAGCGCGAGGAATCGCGCGGCGGAGTCCAAGAAGGCTTGGAGGACATCATTCAACAGCGAGACGAAGGAGGACGTCAGAATGGCGGACCAACTAGTTACCCGGAGGGGGCCGATGCGGTTCATCCGAAGGAGGTCTCGCGAAGGGCCGAGCTACCGTGTGGAGCTGCATTCTATCCGGAAGGCCAGCCCAGGGGGCATGCTTTCGCGCAGCGAAGCGCCCAGGCTGAGGCGCCTTAGGACGTTAGGTTTAGTTGCAAGCATCCGGAAGGCCAGCCCAGCGGGTATGCTGTCGCGCAGCGAAGCACCCAGGCTGATTTGCCTTGGGCCGGCAGGTTTTGGTCGCATGCATCCGGAAGGCCAGCCCCAGCGGGTATGCTGTCGCGCGGCGAAGCACCCAGGCTGAGTTGCCTTGGGCCGGTAGGTTTGGTCGCATGCATCCGGAAGGCCAGCCCCAGCGGGTATGCTCTCGCGCGGCGAAGCACCCAGGCTGAGTTGCCTTGGGCCGGCAGGTTTTGATCGCATGCATCCGGAAGGCCAGCCCCAGCGGGTATGCTCTCGCGCGCGAAGCACCCAGG